TGTCCAGACCCAGCACGACTGGATCGAGCTCGTCCACGGCCTCTATGACACTCTCGAATCCATGCTCGACTGCCTGTCCTCCACTTCTTCCAACAACGACCTGCCCTCCTCCCTGGCTTCCTTCCGCTGTTCGCCCACCCAGCGCCACCAGGCCATGCTGCTTCTCGCCACCCACACCAACCAGCCGCCCCGCTCCCGCTACGAATGGATGTATGAACTCGACCAGCTCTACACCGAGGTCGAGAACTCGATCGACTGCATCTGCCCCCGCTCCGCCTCGAGAAAAAGGATCCTTCCTACTGCCTCTGCCCACTCGCCCTCCACACCCACCACCATGGACCTCGATGACGACTTCTTGCTGGACCTCGCCAGCCCTGCCAGCTCCGATCAAGCCGGTGACGACCTGGATGCCCGGGGCGATCATCCCAAGCCCAACCATCACGGCCACTTCAAACGCCTGCTCCACAACCACAAAACCACCTCTCTGATCCGCCGCCCCGCCGATCTGCCCTACCACCCCAGCCGCCCAAGCGTCGACCAGCTCCTACACCTCAAAAACAACATGCTCAAACGGTTCCACCGGCTCGAAAAGCTCCTCCACCGCCAACTCTTCAACGCCGTGCCTCCCCGCCGCCAGCAGCCCATGCACTTTTTGTACGAACGTCTCTGGGAAAACGTCGCCGCCCTCAACAAGGCTACCTACGACAACTACCTCACCCAGCTCATCCTCTCCTGGACCAACATGATGGCCAACACCCTCGACATGGTCAACACCGTCGCCGACGACCTCAACTGGGTTGCTCAACAGCAAGCTCTCTTCAACGACTCCCAGCCTCGCCCTGATGACCACGAACACACCCTTGCTCTCATCTGGACCAGCGCCCGCCGCAAGATGGAAAAAAACAACCTCCAGCTCATCAACCAGTGGGAAATGATCTTCATGGACATGGACCACGAGCTCCAAACCGCCTGGTCCGACATGTTGGCCATGGTCGACGTCAGTCACCGCTCGTCCTTTGAACGCGTCCAAACCTTCTGGCGCCACAACAAAGCCCGCCTCCAGCACATCTTCTCTTCTCTCTTCACCACCCCCACCTCCCTCTCCCACCCCCCTGCCGAAGCCCCCCTTGATCAGCACGATTAGAAAGCCCGTTCACTCTCTCCCTCTCTTTAATTCATCTTGTACATGTCCATTAGTTTGATTTTTACCCCCTCCTTTTTTTTATAGAAAATAAAAAACATTTTTGATTGCCACCTTTGCCCTCTGCACCAGAATAAACCTATTCTCATCGACATTTATCAAAATCATATCCAGACTAAGAATCCACTCTCGTTGGCAGTTTATCAAAATGGCACTAGTGCTGACGACATGGGGACAAGGGGACCGAAAGTCCACGGCAGCCCCTGAAATCCATTGCTCAGCCCACCCAGCTTTCCCACGCAGTCCAGACGACACTCCTGACTTGGAGTAGCCGACATTCTCATTGTTGTTGGCATTGGATCGACCGAGGAGGTCTGGTTGCTGGCACGTTTTTTTTTTTTTTCTTTCTCGGCAAGAAGGCGCCGACAACAGTCAAGATGTCGTTACCCTTTTCAGGACCCACAGCAACAAAACAAAGAGAAAAAAAAAATTATAAAAGGGTGCTCTCTTTTTTATTTTCCACCTTTCTTCAACTTCTTCTCTAGCCCATCAATGTCACCAACATGGACATGCTGCTTGCTGAATTTCAGCTCTCTCAGTCCTGTTCAAATCTGACCTTGGCACAGATCTGTTAAATACGAAAAAAAAAAAAAAAAAAAAGCAACACTCGCTCTTCAGCACACCTCACACCTCGGTCGTCTCTGGCATTTTGCAATCTCCAACTTACGTATTCGGTTCATTCCTTCCCAACGAATGAACCCAATGAGCAGACCCTCTGCAAATCCAGACACCAGCGAGTACTGCTTCGAATCCCCTGTTGGGAAGCACTTTGACACGCTTTCAACCCCTGCAGGGTAGAAAGACTTGCATAGAGGTAATTGAGCGAATATATTATTATGAACTCAAATAAGAAAAAAAACGCGGAACCCATGCTAATTTCTCGACTTTCTTTTCTTGTTTTTTTTTTCCTGATCATACTGGCTTGCCTCGCCTGATATCAAGACTTGCGTATGCCTATGACGATCTCGCCACTGCCAAGCAACAGTACCAAGCCTTTGCCACCCTCCGTCTCGCCCGCGTCCGCTTCCTCGACCAAGTGCAAACAAGGTACAACGAAGTAATGAGCCTGGCGGCGTACCGCCGCATGGACGATTTAGGTCGAGCCGTTGGCCCTCCCCACTCCCATCACCGGTAAAAAAAAAAAAGGCTCCGCTCTGCTCACTTTTTTTTTTTTTTTCATTCAGAGCCGTTCAGGTCCAGCGTCTCTGGAACATCCATTACCCGCAGCTCCACTGTCACATCCCTCGTGACGCTCAGCACCAACAACAATGGTTCCAGTGGGCGAACAGTCTCCAGCAAGACGCATTCTACTTCGCAAGTGCCATGCGCCAGGCTGGGCTTTTGCACCCTGTTGTCCACCGCTTGCACAGCGTCCTAGTCCAGTACCCTCCCGACAATGCCACGGACGACTCCTGGATGGCGAACGAAACCTTGGTTCTCGAAGCTCTTGGTCGTTGGTCATCCTATATGCGCACGTTCCTCCCATCTGATCACTTTTCACCGGCAAACCAGCATCTCCGAGTTGGCCAGCGGTGGGCCAATGAACGCGGTGTGCCCTTTATCGCAACCATCTACACAAACATGGAACAGATGGAAGGCCGTGAAGTCGTGGTGTCAGCAACCTATGGCATCAATTTCTATTGGATCTAAGAAAAGAAAGATACAAAACCAATGACATAACCAAAAGCTGCTGGAGTCATGAAAAAGCAGAACATAGTGACTCTAAAAAAAATAAAATTACCAACTATCATAATAGACGAAAATTTTCATATCAACGACCATGATGTCACGGTGCGCGTCCGCTTCCCAAGGTCATTGATGCCAATTTTCATACGAAATCTGGGAAAATAAACGCAGTAGCAAGTCAATTAGAAATATAAAAAATGACTTCAAACATTGCATACAGCGGGATATTTCCCGAGCTTTTGAGGGTTACTCACCCACTGGTTTACGCTAACTCTTTTTTTTTCAGTTCTGGATGGTATAGTAATTTATATCTTGACTTTAAAAACACAATCGTCAGAAATCCAGTCAATGCGTGTTTTATTTGCATCTGCAAAAAAAAAAAAAAACCAGCATTGCTTTGACTTTGGCGGAGACACAATCGTGCCACCTTCCAAATTTGGCTGCCCAGCCCAGCGTTTCGTCACTTCTGATTTGGACTCGTCACAATCCCCAGCTGCAAAAAACAACAGGAAGCTCGCACACCGCAGTGCCAGAACAGTACGAGAAAAACCAGGAGTTGCGACACATCAGAGACAACAAGGGAATGGCCTGGGGATGGGGCTCTTTGTCCCGTAGGTTCAAGCCCAGGGCTGACACTTTTATGGTCACGATTGCTTCCTCCGTGGTCACGTAGAGCAGTCAACCGCGACAGATATTAATGATCACAAGCATGCTCCCCTCCCTTTTGATTATTTTCCAAAAAACCACTCATTCCTCTTTTTCTTGTGGTTTTTTTTACTCTACAGGTAACCGCCACGCGCCATGACCACAGGTTGAAATAGAAATCTTGATCAAACAGCAACATCATCACCCCAAGAGTTGGTAAAAACGCCCATGCCGTTGTGCTTAGTCACCAGTGTTGCTCATATGTTTCAGCAAATACAGGGTCTTCATGTCATAGCGATAATGGTATGCCAAAAAAAAAAAAAAGTTGCATCGCCTGGATTTTTTTTCTATTCAGGGTTTACCTGGAGCCATTGCTGTTGGTGCTTAACGCGGTCAATCTTGCATTGATGGCCCCCATCCCGTGGGTAAATGTGTTCCAGTTCCCAGTCATCTAGCAAACACCAGCCAAAAAAGTGCAGGCTTTGATTTAGCACTGGAAGCTTCACGTGTGGTACATATAGCAAAGTTACATAGCTAGATTATGTTAACACTATTACCATTCCGTAGCAGACAGCTGCATGTTTTCTACATAGAAAAGTGTAGTATAATTAAAAAGTCTTTGGAGTGTTGAATGTAAAGTAAAAAAAAAAAAGCACAGCCTACCTCTGAATCATTGCAGAGTTTTGTTATTGAAAGACATTCCTGAACAAACAAGCAAACAGGTTTCAAAGACAGAAAAATATATTACAGGTAAATGAAAGGTGTTTGTGCGATTTAAGATGAAAAGAGGAGACATGACAATGTAAGCTGAAAAGAGAGAATAAAAAACATTATGCTGAGAGGGGACTGAAAAAGAAAGCGACCGTGCGGAAGCTGAATATGACCATCCTATTTTTTTTTTCTTCATTTTGAAAAAAAAAAGTAAACACTGCAGAGCAATTTTGAGTGATTGAACCAACATAAGATTTTGAGAGAATGCGCAAACGCTTCAATGATGCTGATGCTGAAAAAATCAGGTCGATTGGTGAAGGTCGCCCAGCCAACTTTTGATCGTTTGCGTTTTGACATCTCCGATTCCCCAGCTAAAAAAAAATGAATGACAGCCATTTTCGCCAGGGGACCCCCAACTTTGCACACCACAATCTTCAATGCGATTTTCAGAGTGCTTGATAAATCCATAGAGGTCGCGGCAAGAAACTTTGTGACAAGCACCACATATTCGGTCCGTGAGATTTCATTGCTCAGGAGCTTATGTCACTCTGAAAATCGCATTGAAGATTGTATTAATGGAGTTGTTGTCATGAAATTCCAAATAAAAAAGCAACGCAAACTCACCTGATCCCAAAGAAAAAAAAAACATACAAAAAAGGAAAGAGCAGTCATCAGCCAATCCGAGACGCCCGGAAATACGGCGGCCGAAATGCCGAGCACAAAACAAGAGCATTTTCGGGGTTTAGCCCCCAGTTTTGGGGATGTAATTTAGTGGTAGAATACTACTTTCGCATAGTTGAAACGCGAGTTCGATTCTCGCCATCTCCAGATTTTTTTTACATGGGTTTGAGGTTTTTTTGGTTTAGGGTTTGGTAACATCAGTGCGTGATGATGGAGGAGAGGAGGTGCTAAGTTTTTTGATGTAACAGGGAGTTGCTTTTGTAGTTTTAGGCGGGAGGGGGGCACAGTGGATGAGTGATGTGCGTGCGTGTCACTTCGTGCGGCCCAATCAAAGAATGAGTGAGCCTTTTTTTTTTAACCTTTCATTCCCATTTTGATGAGCTCACAATGACAAATCATGCCCCATTGGCTAGTGGTTAATCTCCAAGTGCATTACATCAATGCTCATTCGCGCGTCCCCACCCACGCTGCCTGGAAGGGTTGTCATTCTTATCATTTTTGCACTGGTACGCAAATTTTGGCCGTCTAGGGCTTGGGTGGTCCCCCTGGCGAAAATGGCTGATTTTCATTTTTTTTTAGCTGGGGAATCGGAGATGCCAAAACGAAAGTGATCAAAAGTTGGCTGGGCAGCATTCGCCTATCGACCTGGTTTCTTCAGCACCATCATCATTCACGCATATCCGCACCCATACAAAATTTCACATCGATCCGATCACTCAATTGTCCTGTGCAGCGTTTGTATTTTTTTTTTTCAAATGAAAAAGGAAATGAATGCCATGTTCAGTCTCCGCACAAGGTAGAAAACAAGGCGCTCTTTTTTTTCTTGTCTTCTTTTTCTTTCTCAAATCGCTCACTCAGACCTGATCAGGATCCAGATATGTTTGCTTCAACCAGAAAAGTGCAGCAAAACCGAGAATTCAGGCCTTTTTTTTTTTTTTTTTTTTGGCGCCTGTGACGTTGTTTGTCCAGAGAGCGCAAGCGGCATGAGTGGTCTGAAATCTTGCGCAGGCGGGAGAGGATCGTAGGGATAGACAAGAATCAAGCGGAATCAAGCGAAACATGTGGGGTTCTGTGTCCAGCATTGGGCTTAGGAAGATCAGAGCTGCGAAAGGGATGGCAGAAGGATGGGGGGATGCGTGAAGTGGAAATCGCATGTTGACATTGAAAAGGCGGGATGGAGGTAGAAATCATGGTTTATGGATGCGCAATGCTGCTCGTGCTTTGCACAGAAAGGGGGGCGATGCGGGTGTAGCTATGGGGCAGGTCAAGAAAATAAAACTCTCGCGCACCCTGAGCAGAAGGGGACGACAGCCAGCTCATTCGATCGCAGGCAACTCCAGAAGAGCTCTGAAAATAAAAGAGGATATCCTGGCCGGATGCGAAGCAGATGAAAGGGAGAGGGACAAGTGCACGGATTGCGTGTTTAATGTTGGACGTGGAATACAAAATTTAGGCCTTCTTGGCGGTAGCCTTCTTAGCTTCCTTGGACTTGGCAATGGCAGCTTGACGGGCAGCGGCACGGGCATCGGGCTTTTGGTTACGCTTGGCACGGATGGCTTCCCAGGTGGTGCCGGCAACGGCACGTTCGTGCTTGACAGTCTTGCGAGAGCGCTTCTTGGCAACTTCTTCAGTGATACCCTTCTTGTTGAGGCGACGGTAGATGGTGGTCCAGCGCACCTTGCGGGGGTTCAGACGTTGGAGGAAGTAAGATTCAGCCTTACCGTTGATGAAACGGAAGGTCTATATAAAAAAAGAATGGATGAGTGACGCTGGACAGAGAAGAGATACGGCCAATGCACTGGAGAGAAGAGAGAAGCGGTGATGATGGTGGGGTGGCTGAATAGTTGAGAGTAGCCCATTCAAAAAAAAAAAAAGGAGTGGAGTTGACTCGAGGAATGGAGTGGATGAGTTGGTGGGTCAAAAGGTGTGATCGCTGGCTGGGTGTGGGTTGCATCTTCTCTCCAGTGCATGGAGGGATCGAGTGGGGGGAAAGGGAGGGGAATGTACGTACTCTATAAAGAGAGGAGAGAAAAAGAGATGAGGATCATTGTGGCAAGATAGAATGGTTTGCCATTGTTACCTGCTGTCAATGCGGACGTAGGTCTTACCCTTGGCAGGGTAGATCTTGTAGCCGGAGAACGAACAAATTTCGAGCCTGTAAAGAAACGGGATGATGGGTGAGCGCGTTTGATGGATGGATGGTCATGACGGATGGATGGATGCTTACTTCATCGTTGATCGACGTGTAGAGAGGGAAAGAAGAAGAGGAAAAAAAAAAAAAAAAAGTTCCGCTGTTTTTCAAAGGCGAGGGCCGGGTGTTGAAAATCCCCTTTTTTTTTTTCGCCATGAAAAAGAGAGGAGGAAGTTTTATTGACAAAGAGAACCCTCAGGAACAAGAGGGAATGCAATTTACAAAAGATTTTCTCCAAGAGCACAGCAGGCTAGGGGGCAGCCGATTTGGATGGTGCGCAGCGCAGATTTGTCGTCTTCCAAGGCTGGGTTGACCTCGACGACGTCCATGGCGACGAGGGAGCCTGTTTGGGCGAGGGCTTCGCAGATGGAATGGCCTTCGCGGAAGGTCAAGCCACCTCGGACGGGGGTGCCCTGTAGAGAAGCGTCAGTGGACAAGACTGGGTGGGCGGGTGTGGTGCTACCGTGCTGGGAGCGACAGTGGGGTCCAAGGCGTCGACATCAAAAGAGAGATGGATAGGACGGTCGCGGTTGGGATTGACGTGGTCCAGGGCGATGTCGATCACACGGCCGATGCCGAAGCGATCGATGTGGTGCATAGAAAATGCCTTGATGCCAAGGTCCTTGAGGATCTTCTTTTCACCATCGTCGACCTAGCCAAAAAAAAAAAAAAAGGTGGACTGCAAGGTGGGCATTCACGTCGCGCAAGCCAATGTAGACAAGACGGTCTGTTGAGCACGGGTTGGACCCATTGGAATCGGGATGGGCGGCTAAGAGGACAGCCATGAATGTTGCCTGACGAGGTTGTTTCGGGGGTATTGATGTCCTATGAAAAGAAATGGGATGAGCCGAGAGCAGGTTCCCGAGGACTTTTTAATGTGAAAAGCGTACGGCATGTGTATCCACCGAAACGACACAGGCATCTGGGTAGGCTTCAAAGATGCCAGACACTGTGCCGAGGGCGATGGCATGATCGTCACCGAGGGTGAGAACAAATTTACGCTGGGCAGCTTGGTCGTAGATCTGCTTGGCCACATGGTGAGTGACGGCGGAGACAAACTTGGGATTGATCAGGTTGAACACAACGGGATCGTCCTTGGGACAGAGTTGATCGATTTGTTCGTCGTTGGGTATGTAGGTGGGCGACCAGCCAAGTGTGTTGATTTGCTCCAAAAGGCTGCATTCAATGAACTGGATGGGACCGACTTCGACACCTTCTCTGGGCTGGCCACCGTTAAAAGGGTCACCAACGACAGCCGCTTCCTTGCATAACCGCGTATTTTGCCGGGTCGACAAAGCTAAAGTCATCTTGGGTAGGGTGGTAGGACAAGGAGCGAAAGAGGAAAAAAAAGGGGGGGTGGTGGCTGTCAAAAAAAGGGCAGATATTTTTTTTAGGGTCCAGCCCAAGCCAGGTGGTCAAGAGATGCTCGGGATGATAATCTTTATTTTACAGACCTGGCAGCCTAGCCTAGCGACGGCGCAAGCGAATGAAAAGAATAAGCAAAAAGAGTAAAAAGGCGTTGACCTTGATGCCTACACGGCGCAGTTTGTAGTAATACACGATGGGGTGGGTGGACAGGACCATGCGCAAGACAGACTGTTTGCCGGATGTGTAAGGAGGATAGCGGAAACGGTTGAGGGCTTCCAAGCGTAGATTCTTGGCCATGACGGCCCGTTCATAGGTAAAGGTTTCAAAGGTCTTGTCACCATGGTAACCGCCCATGCCAGAGTGCCCCACACCACCAAAAGGCAAGGCATATTCTAAAAAAAAAAAAAAAAAAAAAAAAAAAAGGTTGGGGAAGTTCGTATGGCTGGGATGAATGGCTTACCGGATTGATGGAGCATTGTGTCATTGATCAATACCCCACCCGATTGCGTGGAGGACAAAACTGAAAAAAAAGGGGGGTGAGCGCATGCCAAAAAAAGGAGGGAGGCGGTTACTTGTGTCGATGTCTTGCTTCTTGTTGGAAAAGATGTACAGGGCCAGGGGCGAGGTTTTTTTGTTGATGTAGGCGACGGCATCTTCGAGCTTTCTGTAGGTCAGGACGGGCAGGACAGGGCCAAAGATCTCGTCGTCCATCAGGGTGGACTCCAGGGGCGAAACGTTGACAACCAAGGTGGGGGCAATGAATCGCTGGGCTCGGTCGGTGTCACCGCCTACGACGACATCACCACTGTCACGGTGGTTGAGCATGTGGGCGACGTGATCAAAGTGGCGATCGGAGATCAGGCGGGCCAGATGGGGGGAATTCTTGGGGTTGTCGCCGAACCATTTCTTGACGGTGGCCTGGAACGCCAGGGTGAATGGTTGCAGCAGCGATTCGTGGATCAGAACATAGTCGGGAGCAACACAGGCCTAGGGGCGCATGTCAGTCAAGGCAAGGTGGACGGGGGAGGTTACCTGGCCACTGTTGAAGAATTTGCCAAAAGCAATGCGTTGGGCCACGGTGGTGATGTTGACATTTTCGGTGATAACGACAGGGCTAAGGGGAAAGAGTGAGTGTGGGCTGAGGGTTGAAGTGGACTTGCCTTTTGCCACCGAGTTCCAGCGTGACCGGGGTGACGTGTTTGGCGGCGGCTTCCATGATGATTTTGCCGACGTTGGTGCTGCCGGTGTAGAAGATGTGATCGAAGCGATGGGCGAGCAGGGCGGTGGCTACATCCACGCCGCCGTTCACCACGCGGTACTTGGCGTCGTCCAAATAAATGGGGAACAGTTCAGCGAGCAAATTGGCAGTATGAGGAGCGATTTCCGAGGGCTAGGAACGAATGAGGTCGCGGTTGCGAATGTTGTTGTTCATTGGTATTACCTTGACAATGGCTGTGTTACCGGCAGCAATGGCACCGACTAGACGAGAAGAAAAAGGGAGATGGTTGGTGTCCATGGTTGGTCACGGTGGGGCTTACTGAGTGGGATGAGGGTGAGTTGAAGAGGAAAGTTCCAAGCGCCTGAAGGG